GGAATACATGTGTATTAACCCTCTGGGGAACCCCTCCGACCACAGACCAGGGACGTGAGCGGCCTTGCCATCACAGAGTGCACTGCAGAGTGGATTCTTTCTGATGTAGTCTGCGGAACATTTAACACCTTCATCACTGGACTCCCATTTTCACTCAATTAAAATTTTCCATAGTTTATCTACTTTCATTTCAACTAAGGGTTTTTCTGTTTCACTCTGTTATTGTTGTTACCTTGGTATGCTTCTCTGTATATCAGACTCAGGATAGGTAAGTCTACAGAGACAATAACAACTGGATTTATGGGGTCTTGGGAGGATGGCAGGGGGGCGGAGGGGAAATGGGGAGCTAATAACGATGAGTACAGGAAAGAAGACTCGTTGTATAACGGATTGTGGCAATGATTGTGCAATTCTTGATATGACTGAACTACTGAAATACATGATATGTGGACCATATGCCAATGAAACAGTCAAAAACCAAGCTAGTCTGAACGCCAAAGTGGACTCCAAAACCAAACTGAAGCCTGTGGAGACAGTTCTGATCACAGAGCCTGCAGTGGAGTGGACTGTTTATGTCTCTTCTAGCCATCGTCCCTGTGACTCCCGCCAAACAACCTGTTCCTGATGGGTCTGGGGAAGACAAGGCAGGGGGGTGCTGGTCAACAGGATCCAGGCCTCCGAACCGGAGGTGGGGTGGAGTGGGGGGGCGGGGCGGGGGAGGTAACACTACCAGCAGAGAAATGAGCCAGCGGTGGAGAGCATCCTTTGGATCCTGCATCTCGCTTGCCTTCCTCTGCATGACCTCTGGTTTTTGGAATCTGCGGTGTGGTCTGTCACCTGACTTGGTTATACCATCTTCTGCACCCTTGGGGAGAAGAGGAGTGTCCGGATGGATGTCTGAATTTTGGATTTGGCACTTCCTAGAACCCACAACTATGTGAGCCTTTTTTTTTTTTTTTAAATGTTGTGAGTTCTGGGTGGCTAGTGCAGTGAACTGCAGAAACCTGGGCTGTCAGGGAGTATAATAACAGGAGAAGCTAACAGGGTGGATGATGTCAGAGGTGATGGAGTGGAACAGCAGTTTGGAAAGGTGGGACGTTTTGGATATATTACATCTTCACCTTCTTGGACTAGGTCTTGTGTTCATTTTCCTGAAAGAAATTGTTATTTCTCGACCCTACAGAACAGAGTGGAACTGCCCCTGTGGGTTTTCAAAGCTGCAAATCTTTCCCGGAGCAGAAAGCCTCATCTTTCTCCCAAAGAGTGAGTGGCTGTGGGGGATCAAACTGCTGCCCTTGCAGTTAACATCCCAATGGGTAACCCACTACACCACCTGGGTTCCTAAGGAGGGCAAACCTCAGGATCATCTATTAGGAATGAAAACAATTGCTGTATAGAAGTGATACTAATCATCTTCATGGGGTAAATCCTAACAACATTGACACAATTTGTGTCAATTTGATGTAGTTCCTTCCTCCTTTATTTTACCTTCTTGTTCCCCTCTTCTCTATAGAGAAGAGCAGCTTAATACCAGTTGTTGTTATTTACCCTATTCACAGTCCTCACAACACAATATTAGCAAGTTGTAGTAAGAAGATGAAAAAATGAGGATAGGTTCTTACAGTACTTTAAAAAGCAGTGAAGGAAAAAAAAAAAACAGTGAAGGAGAGAGGCTAAGTACCCATTCCAACTGTGAGTGTAATAAAGTATTTACAAACATCTGAATGGAATCACTGGGTCTCAATTATAACTCAATATTAAGGAAACTGTCAAATTATATAATTTGTTCTTGCTTACCCAAAGAGAATTTCAGAAATGAGACAAAGTAACGGACTAGCTAAAGATAGAACCATCTGGAATATTTCCTTGATTGACATCATTCCCCTCCCTGCCTCAATCAACTTCCTGCTTGGCCCAAGAAAGTAACTTTACCATCATGTCCTGCTCTTTAACTTTGCAAAAGTATTTACTTCAGGAATGCTGGTACTGATGTAGACTTTAGAATCTTAGAATAGGAAGAAAATGCATAAAGTCTGATGACAATTCACTGGGGTATTCTCAAATGTTTATAGGTCATATATGTGTTATTCTCTTTGTAAGAATGTGGAGGAGAATCATTGCCCTTAGAAAATGCCTAGCATAGTAGTTGCTCCAGGAGCCCTGCTGACACAGTGGTGAGGTGCTCCATTGTTAGCTGAAAGGTTGAGTGTTCAAACGCACCAGTCAACCTGCAGTTTACTTCCGTATAGAGGACAGCTAAGGAAACCCTATTGAGCAGAGTCATTATGAACTGGAATCAACTGGATGGCAAGGGTTTGGTTTCTGGAGTAGGTGCTTAATAAATACACGCAGAATGAATAGAATTGGTCGAATTAAAAAATTGGATTACGGGGGTGAGGGGCAAGTCCAATAAGGGCTCAAAACATTGAGAGTAGATTTGAAGGTGTATTTCCATTTCTTATCTAGGAATACAATCTCTCATCATGACTGTTTTAAAAATGTCATTTTTTAAAGGACAGAGGTGGTTTGTATCTTACATTCATTTATGCTGAGTGAAATAAGTCAATCACAGAAAGACAAATATGAGACCACTACTGTGAAAAAAAAATCAAGAAAAGCTCTACACATATGGAATGTATAATTACTAGGTTTAAAAAACTGTAATCATCAGTTCTATGTTGGTTTAGTTTGAGCTATGCGTCATTAAATTCTATAATGGCAAGAAAGGAGATCTGGAGATATTGACATTGTCTGCATTGCAGTGCTTGGCACAGCCCTTGCGTACGTGGGTGTTCAGGCGTTAAGAGTGACAACCTGCATCAGAAAGTCCAGCTCTAGCCGCTTACTGCCCACAAAATTTTACCTCCTGGAGCAACTACTATGCTAGGCATTTTCTAAGGGCAATGATTCTCCTCCACATTCTTACAAAGCTCCTGGGACTGCTTTGCAAAGACCCGAGAAATAAACGTCCAGTTACTAAAGAGATCCACAGCAGAGCCTCAATCCAGGACTCCCATTTGAGATTTTATTTTTCTTGGAATTTATCAATAAATCACTTCTAATAATCAAGAAACATAAATACCTGTCCTATTTCACAAGGTGTTTTCACGATTGAATGAGAAAGTACATTAAAGCCGTTAAGCAGAACAAAGTGTAACATCAATCAACTATTGGAAACATCAGTATTTTTCCAATCAGAAATGAGCCAATCTAATGGATGAAAATTCTTGAGCTTAAAGTCTGGATTCCATCACTCAATAACCATAAGATCCTGAGCCAGTTACCCCCCGTAAAATGGGGATCATGATCCCCACCTTACATTGTTGGTGTGAGGATTACAGCTGATCTATGTAAGATAAGCCACATACCTGGTATGTTGTACTAAACTCAGTGTTTCTTATTACATTAGTTTAACAAAGTCCTCATGGGCTTGTGCTGTACATGAGCTCTACAGTCATCATAGATATCAAGGCCAGCAGAGAACATATGGCTTTTTTCTAACAGATTCTTTGTATGTGTTTCAGCATGTTAATCTAGAAACACATTTATTATTTAGGCACAGTCATAGTTGGGGTTTAGAGAACCAGTCAGATGATTTAAAAGTAACAAAGTGTGATCAGTCAAGAAAATGAAATGGAAATAGATCCTGGGATGCAAGTAACTGAAAATCATTTATTATACTTTTGTTAAGCCAATATGTTATGATTTAGAATGTGATATACTTATGGACAGGCAAGTACTGCCTGTTAAGAAATGAATGGCCTAAAGTTAACCGTCAACTAATGTATCACTGTGTTAAGTGACTTAAGATAGAAACTAAATTCATCTTTTGATAGTCCTAAGAATGGGATGGCTAAGAATTATTACATGTGTTAGCCGCTGTTCCTTATAGACAAAGGCTACATGAGGGGCTTCAAAAAGTTCATGGAAAGATGGAATTAAAAGAACATGGAAACTTTCTGAAGGCCCCTCGCACATTTACGTTTAATATAGACACACACACACTCTCTCTCGCATGCACACCCACACACACCTGTGAAAGTCAGGAATTGTATAAGAAGGAAACTTGTCAGAGAGGGAAAACCCAGATTTCCACTAACAGGAGAGATAAAAAAATGGTAAGGCTGCACCCTTCCAAAGGCGGAAACTAGTGAGATCAGAAAAACAGCGTTGTCCTGTCACAGTCTAGCTCCCCCAGGTTCCTCGTATGTCCAGTAGGGCCAGGACATTGACCACCATTCCCATCTCTCTCTTTTTTAACTCTGTGTTCTTAAAGCACTTCTCCCTCAGGTTTCTCCTGGAAGATAGTCATTCCTAGCAGCTCAACTCTGAGAAAGCTTCATAAGCAGGGGCAATGGCAGTACTTAGAAACAAATCCATTTTTTCTGGATATATATCTCTCTCCTTTAGGCTCTCCTGTTTCTTGATAAGCAAATGATTATTTCACATTTTATCGCATCCTAATTCTTTTGATTTATTCAATTTCCTCTATCCAGGGCACACTTTCACCCTTCAGTTTCTGAGGTCACCTGCCAATTTGTTTATTAAAAATCATTCAATTTTTCACTCCCCGTCTGTTCAAAAAAATGCAACTCAATTTCCATGGCCTACCTGACAGTCTCTGTATTCTGTTGGAGCATTTTTCACTGGTCAGTTCTGAGTTGGTACTGGTTAGAGACTAGTGAGTCTAGTGTTTGTCTTAGCAATGGTCAATAATCCTAAGAATACAGAGACTCAGATGAAATTCATACTGAAGGCCAGTGACAAACTGGAGAATTGTGACTAAGATGTTTTATAATCCGTGATTGACAAGAGAATTATTGTGAAAAATATGGTCTGTTTCCATTTAGAGGAACAACTGTAAAATATTTTGACTTATAGTTCTAAAGTTTTAAGTCAGAAAAAAATATCACTAGAAAGAAGAAGCTTTTCTGTTTTGTAGAGAAAACATTTGTAATGCTTTTACAAAGAATGACAATCTAAATAATACATATACTTACATTTTTGAAAAGTTGCTCCGCAAGTTCTCTAACATGCTTTATCATCTTCAGTGGGTTATTTTCTTCTACTTTAATCCGCTCTACTTCAAAGGCTACCAACTTAGAAAAAGAATTAAATGGCAAAATATCAACTTCAAAGAATGCTAAGTTAGACAACGTGTGATAAATTCATGTAATTTGCAAGCCAAAAATAATCTAAAAGATTTTTATCAATACAAATAATTTAGATTTTTCCTGGGCTCTACTTTTAATTCCATGGGGCCCTGATGGTGCAGTGGTTGCAATTTGGGCTGATAACCAAAATGTCAGCAGTTTGAAACCAGCGGCTCTATGGGAGAAAGATGTGGCTTTCTATTCCTGTACACAGCTGGTCTCAGAAGTCCACAGGGGCAGTTCTGCCCTGTCCTGTATGGTCCCATGAGTTGGAATAGACTCAAAGGCAGTGAGGGTTTTTTGGGATTCCTTATGTCAGAGTTGAGTCCTTGGCTGGTCTAGTAGTCTCTCCTTGATGACTTATGGACCTATTTGTTTCGGGGAAAAGTCATCTCTTGGGTTCATTTGTCCAATCATTCTCTAGACCTTACTCAAAGAATTGCAAATAGTCTCCAAACATCCCCCTACCTTACAAAATGGGGTGAGTGTGTACTATACTGAGCAAATCAGAGTCTGCAGACAATGTCATCTGGGACAAATGCAGCCTCCAGGGTTTTAGTTTCTGCATCTAAAATAACATGGAAGAACAAGTGGCCCTAGGCTCCCTCTACCTATCAAATAAATTCTAGTCCATCTCCCTTCTGACTAATTTACTGAGAGAACTAGCTGAGTTTGTATGTGTATATTTGGGATAGAGAAAAGGGTGTCAACAAGGGAAAATATGCAAATAAATACATTTTAAGTATCATGTGGGATATTTCTCTTTAGGATTCCTTGGGGCATATTTGAAAAACCACCACCCACTACCTTGGAGTAGATTAGGATCCTTTAGGATGGTGTGGAATCATCTCATAGTTCCATGGGTGTAATCTTCATGAAAGCAACCTATCACATCTTTCTTTCATGAAGCAGCGGGTGGGTTCAAACCATCGACCTTGGGGTTAACAGCCACTACACTACCAGGGCTCCTGGAGAATGTAGCCATATAAACCCATGATGACACATGTTCTAGGCCATGGCTCAGAAAGACTGTCTAGCACTTCTGTCCTTAGAGCATGCCTCTTTTTGACAAGAGTGTGGGGATAAGGCAACATACTACCTCTCAAAGCTTCACTAGCTCCCCCACCCCCACCAAGTTCCCAATGTGGTAAGCTGCCTTTGCCTGAGTGAAAACAAGGGTCCCTTTTCATGGAAAAAATGCTGTTTTCCTATAAACTAAAACACCAAACACACTGCCTACAAGTCCATTCCAACTGACAGGGACCCTGTAGGACAGGGTAGAACTGTTCCTTTGGGTTCAGAGACTAAATCCTCCTGAGAGCAGAGAGCCTCATCTTTTTCCTGCACAGTGCTTGATGGGTTTAAACCACTGAGCTGGAGGTCAGCAGCTCAATGCTTACCCCACTGTGCCACCAGAGCTTCGTATGTTCATTCCTATACAAAATAATGGTTAAAAAGGATAGGAGAAATTACTTAGATCTGGTATCCTCTTGGACCCTTGGCTGATGTATACTACACATAAACAAACTACATTCAAGTAACATCAGGAAGATACCAGAAATCATCACTACAGGTGGAACACAGAAACTGGATGGACAATAAGAGGAGGCCCAACAAGAATCAGGAATGGAGTTCTTCTTGCCTTACCACTGTTTCCAATCTAGATGTTACACATACACAAAACACACAATAAAAAAGTGGCCATATAAAATTGGTGGTGAAATTCTCTGACAGGCTAAAGGTCCTAGAAGATCTGCTGCGTAAGCATTGGGCTGCTACCTGCAAGGTTGGTGATTGTAACTCGCCAGCCGCTCCATGGGATAAAGTTGAGGCTATCTATCCATGAAAGATTTACAACCCCAGGAACCCAATATCAGGTGACTATGAGCCAGGGTGGACTCAATGGCCATGGGTAAGACAGGCTAACAGCTCTCTGGGAGCAGAAATGGAGCATGAAGGGTCATGGTTAGGCTGAGAAGTAGAGGAAAGGGACCCCAGAGTGGACGGAGGGCCTTTAAAAGTAGCTAGAGGCTGAAGCAAGCCAGCTTTCTGCAAGTCATCGTTCTGACTTTTTAGCTGTGGTGAAGCTGACCCCGGGCTCCTTCTACTTCCTTAGTCAACCAGAAGGACTTACTAAGGAAAATAGGGATGGGAAAGAAAGACGTTACATCAGTCATCATTCAGAATTCTAATTTAACTCATAAAGCTCTATGTATTAAGTACTTCGCTCAGGATATAAAGCCATTGAATGTTAGTATTAGATAATCGGTGATTAATTGATGATTATTTATTAGAAGGAACAATCTGCCTAAGAGCAATCTCTTCATATGCTTTGTATTATTAACTAAAAGCACTTGATACATAATTAAACATGTCTCTTCTTGAATATTTACTTGTGAATAATTATCTTTACATAGCATAAAAAGTGATCCTTCTTTGAACCAAGGATCTTTAAGGTCTTGAATCGTCTTTGGACTAAATAAAACTACTAGAATCAAACTGTGTCTACTCTTCTTGTTCTTAGGCCCTAAAATTGCTTTTCCTTTTTAGATTTCAGGGACTTTTTTATTATTCCAATATATGTAGTGTTCTTTCAGAAGTTGAAATGGAAACAATATTCATTGTTCAATCCACCAAAACGAGTTGCTGAGAAGAGTTGAAGGATAAAAGAGAAGATACCTTTAGAAAGAGAGAGAAAGCACAGCAAACGCAAAAGAGTCTTTACTTCAAGTTACCTCTGTCCTGTTTCTTTCCTTATGTGGCCGGTTCCTAAAGATGGAGGCTACATTGGTCGTCCATTTATTTAGTGTCTCCACACTATAGGTTGGAATTGACTAGGTGGTAGTGAACTTGGTGTTGAGTCTGGAAGGGAAGCTAGGAGCCCTGGGTGGTGGGTGGGTTAAGCACTGGGATGCTAACTGCAAGCCACTCAGCAGGAGACAGATGAGGCAGTCTGCTTCTGGAAGATCTGCAGTCTTGGAAATCCTAGGCTGCAGTTCTACTCTGCCTATAGGGTCTCCATGGGTCAGAATCCACCCAACTGCAGTGGGTTAAGTGAATTAGACAAACATACATTAGAAATTAATAAGAGTGCCACTAAGCTCAACGATGACTCTGTACCACTGACAGACTTAAAGGTAAATGTAGTTTGAGTCACATGTCTAAATATAAAAAATCAGACCCTTTTCCTTGTGAAACTGATTTAAAAAAACCCCACAGTACTATTGTCTCTAAAAATAAAGTTTCTATGTATAGAACAGAAACACTATAAACATTTTAAAGGATTTTAAGCGATCATTTAAAAATCCAGCTCAAGATTTTTGTGTAATTCTAACACCTCCTATAATTTTCCCTAACTTTTCTAATCCACATTATAAATACAATCTGCTGAACATAATAGAAAACAACACTTAGATGTTATATTTAATTTATAATAGATTTATGATTTTGACCAGCCATTTAAGAATACCATTCTACTTCTAAATACTGATCTATTTTTGTCTGTAAGTCATGCACTGATTTTATAAGGATACCTCATCAAAGAGATCACAGGATCGATAGGGAAGGCCTCTTTCTGAAACAAACCCTGCAAAGGCCATGCCGCCGAGTACTTTGGTGAGGAAATCATTCTCAACCAAACCACGCTGCCCCAGGAAAGCTGTCTGCAAAGACAGAAAATGGGAAATGAATAAATTAATTTGTCACTTAGTAATGGACAAAATGGTCAAAGCAAAAACAGAGTAGAAAGGGTGAAGCCTCTATAAATACTTTCATGCATAAATATGCAGTTATGAAACCTATTTCCTTGGAAAGGGTTTTCTGTTCTGGCCTGAAATAGAGCACACAATTGTTCCATATCTGCAGGGGAGGGGTTCCAAGATCTGCCCCCTTTTCCACAAATGCTCAAGCCTCTTATGTGAAGCCGTATATCATTTGCATATGAATCCAAAGATGTTGAGCCCTTGGGTATAATAAATACCGGAAAGAATAAAAATAAATCTGTCCATAAGATAAGGAGAGATCAGAAATTACTACTCAACTTTAAAAGAGAAATGTTTGTAAAGATAATAAACACTAAAGAAAAATATTAAGTCATTTCCATAGTATGATTAAGAATGACCAGAAACACCCCCCCCAAACAAGAAGCTTTAAATAACCATATTTCATATAAAAATGCCTGGCAAGAAAAAGACAACAATGCAGTTTTACTAAATTAGAGTCTGCTTTTTGGAGAAATACAATATAGTACCATATCTTACCTTGTGGAAATGTATTACTGGTTCTGCATGAATTCTTATAAGTTGTAGGCATGATCTATATCCTTGGAAAAGTTGTGCAAATAATCTAAGGAAAACTGCGCGCACTTCTTTATCCTGAACATATTATAAGAAATATATAATTTACTTTCCTTAAAACACACATGAGATACCATCAAATCTTAAAGTTGGGAAGAACTTTTACGATTATCCAATAAGTCTTGTTGTAGCAAGCTTGAGTCGAATCCAGCCAGTCTATCCACTTGTTGCGTAGCTTAGGCTGTTAAAATTCTTTATATTGAACCAAACAAGACTTGCCTCTTGTACGTCTGATTTTTTTCTCAGGGAAAACATAAGACATGGAACTTTACCAGGTTAACGAGGGTGTATTGCGCAACTCCACTGGTTTTTATAGCCACCAAAATAACTACCATCAAATATAAAAGAAAACCAAAGGATTAAACTTGAAATCTATTACGTTATTTTAGTGTACATACTTTATGAATATCTATTCTTATACTAATATGAGAAAAATCTATTTTGAGAATCCCCATTTTAGTACTATAAGGAAACTTAAAAGATTTATTTAGCCAACAATTAATGAGGAAATGAAAGTCAAGATGCTTCAGTAACTTGTTAAAGGTGTCTATCCTGTAAGGCTCCTTACTGGCAACAAAACTCACTCCTTAGAAGTGCACCGGACCAGGTCAAAGCTCACTTCAAGGGCATGCATGGACAAAACATTACAATAGGGGCATTCTGTTATACATGACCACCCCTGCCCCCTCATTCATGGTTTCTAATCAGAATTTGTCTTAGCGAGCTACCCTTCCAAAGTTAATTATCTGGTTATCAACAATCTTTGCTTTCATTTTTTAAATCCTTTTTTATTCTCCCATGGCTCTTTCAAGGTGACCCTTGGAGCACTTTTCCAAGTTATAACTTAGGTTCTGATTTTTTGTCATATACTTATTTTCAACTCCTCAGGGCAACAGTATCAGCCCTGCTTCCCCTCCTGGCCATTGCCGGACACAAACAAAGTGGCTGGTGATTTTCCCAATTTCTAATTTGGTACACTTTTTAATGTTACTAGATAACAAAAAACTCTCACTTCACCCAATTTCTTTAACAACCTTACAAATAAAAACACAGCACTCCACACATTGTGAAACTAAAGTACTAGACTTACCAGCATTTTTGAGTGGGATAGAGCTGTTCGTGGGGGGGGGAAAGCATGATCGGCTACTTCCAAGTCTGGGTGTAAAATCTAAAGTAAAAATAGTTCTATTATATAAAATATTTTAATATCAATAAGATACTTAAATCAGTGCCTTTTAACCTAGTATTTTCCTAGATGATAAGTGAAAGATACCAGATTTCAATGCTATTTAAATATAGTTATAGTAAACAAACAGTTATTCAAATAAAAAAAGGATGCCTACCTAGTAACCCATATAATCTCCATGCTTCACTTTAGTAAATAGTGAGCTTGTCACCTCATGGATAAACATTCATCTCACAATCAAGACCAGGAAATAAGAGGGCTAGGAATAGGGTATGATTTGCTCAATAAGTATCAATTGGTAGGAGCTAGACTGGAATTCAAATCTCCAGAGTCGCCACCAGGGCTCTATCCCATTGCCCAGGAGGCCTCATGGTGCAGTGGGTGAAGCGACAGGTTCGAAATCAGGCGGTGCTGTTCTGTTCTTGTCCACAGGGTCACTGTGTCACTGTGACTCGGAACCCATGTGCTTCCCTCTGCAACCACACCATAACTACTGCTGCTACCTCGTCGTGTGACAGTTTTACAGTAACTACACAGATAATATTCTTAATTTCAACTATCTATAAGATTTAAATTAAGAAAAAACCCTTATTAACACATGTCATACCAAGGAAAGAGCTGCTTGAGTCTGATGCAGAAGTGGTTCCGGGAGGGAAGACAGGTGGATACATTCAGGAATTTTAATAGTGCCTCCATCCAAATCTGCTATGATTACATCTAACTGAAATAAAAAATGAAGGGATGCTTGTTACACAAATTAATCTGGCCTTCACTTTTTAAGGGACAGACTCTTGGAAGTCTACAAAGATAGAACTACTGCTGGCTTCATGGTTTCTGCCTATAATTTCCATCTTCCTTTGAAATATGTGTGACCATGTGGCAGTTTCAGGCAATGGAAGGTCAGAAGTGATGTGATCATTTCGTGCCTTGATGACAGAAGGTATGTCAGGAAGAAAAGAGCATGCTGTCTTTCCCTTTGCCACAGACTAAGGGATGAACTGCTGGGAAGCCTTGAGCTTTCAGATGATGACAATGCTGAAGGGATTCTGGACTGCAGATGCCCTCACAGAATTAAATGGTTTATGAGCTGCTGCACCAGTGTTAGGTAAAACTTCATTTTCTTTGACCGTTGTAATTTGGATACTTTATTATAGCAGTGTAGGCCATATCCTAAATAGCATAGTAATCATTACACAAAAGTCCTAGGAAAGCAAAGGGTGCTTAAGAAAAAAATTGATTTCTAGTATTTTACATCATCTATTAAAAATAAATTACATAAGATACATAAAATTACATAAATTATATAAATTACGTAAAATAACAGATAAACTAGCCAAGATTACTGAAGTTATTACACTGATAATCACTGATTCATTCTAACTTACTCATTATGAAATTTATGTTAGTAACTCTTGGTTCATTCCAACTTCAGTGATTCTTTATATGTAGTAGTAATAAAATTACCTACAAACCATGTGGGTGTACTTCTAATAAATATGAATTAGCCTTTACTGAATGCTTATTGGTGTATTAAACTTCAGAAAGTTCAAGGACAACTTTCATTATCTTTTCATTCTATTTCTACATAAACTTTCTAAAACTCTCGCATGTATTTTTCACATGGTGATATCAAGGTGTTAAACAGGAAGTAGATGCCAACATATAGTTAGGAAGAATGAGTCATGTATCACTCAGGGTCTTGTTTATACTTACAATGTCAAATAGTGTTTTGTTAGCTTATATGGCACAGCTCACTTGATCACCTCTCACCACTAGCATTACTGGATGAGCACCAAAGAGCTTATCTCTCTGCTAGCATTTAAAACGAAAACAGAAGTAGAATTACAAAATCTTAAGGACTTTATGGCTTACAGATATCACATGGTCCCACTTCTCAATAAAGACATTTTCTTAAATATCCCTGTCATATAAATTCCTTCCACTTGCCATGCTTGGGAGTTCACGCCTCACATAAGGAATCCCATGCCATCAACGGGAAGCTCTAATAGTTCTCTATATGCTGAACAGAAAGATTTCTCTATAAATATTCATTTTCTTCCTTGGAGTGGCTGAGGGTTGTGAACCGAGCTCCTTACTGCCAGCAGCCCAACAACCAATCCACAGCACCATCGGGTCTCTTTGACAGTCTCTCTTCAAGTGAAAACTCAGAAATAAACCAATTATTCCAGAATTGGCTTGAGTACTGAATATTCTCGAGTATAAGCCAATCTGAATATCCGCCGAGGCACCTAATTTTACCACAAAACTGCATTAAAATGTGCTAAAATGCCACACCTACACAGAGGCAGGCCGGGAGGGAGGAAGAGAAAGAGCGAGCCGGACTGGACCCCACGACAGAGGACATTTCTGAACCCCACAAAATGGATGGAACCAAGAAGAGAGCATACCAGATCAGCAGCTGGAGCAAGGCAGAGCTACAAAGCCCCTGAGGAGCCCCCAAGGGGGCGGTCCAGGCTGGGAGGGGCAGCTCCCGGACAGTCTTGAAGGCCAGCAAACAGACCCAGGATTTTTGTGTATTTCTTCTCTCTTATTTTATTAAAATTTTTTTCTTATTCATTTACTATTTTCATTTTTAAAAATCAGTTTGGGCTATGTCATAGTCAATGTACTTACCTATATAGGTTAGGCACCGGGCATGCCCAAGGTGAGAGCAGCGGTTGAGGGTGGTGGGGGAAGGGGTTGGTGAGCAGGCTGTGCCATGGACAGGGGAACAGTGGGGTGTTGGAGTCAATAACAAGAAGGAGATAGGGATCCCAGGTGGGGGCGGGGTGTGTGTGTGTGTGTGTGTGTGTGTAGCAGCAAACTAGCTAAGAGGAGGTACCAAGAGGCAGAAATAGGGGGAAAGTGACAGTGGGGCAGGAGGAAGGTCAAAGGAAGCAGAGGAAGGACCAAGGAAGCAAAGCGATGGACAGAGGTACAAACATGGCGGTGTGCATATGTAAACACATTCATCCACACAAATGGAGGTATTGGCCCATGTCCATATACTTATACAGCAATACACTGAGGTAGGAATGGACTTTGGGCCTCTTCTCATACCCTCCCTCAATACAAGAACACTGTTCTAATCAATCGGCAGTCTGAGATGTTCACCATCCCGACAAAATCACTGAAGACAAAACAGGTGCATAAGCAAATGTGGTGAAGAGGGCAGATAGTGTCGGGCTATTAAAAGATATAGCATCTAGGGTCTTAAAGGCTTGAAGTTACACAAGCTGCCATTCAGCAGTGAAGCAACAAGTCCACATGGAAGAAGCACACTGCCAGTGCAACCACGAGGAGTCATAGGGACCAGGTAATAGGGGGAAAAGGGGGAGAGGGAGGGAGAAAGGGGGAACTGACCGCAATGATCCACACATAACCATACACCCCTCTACATGGGGAAAAACAACAGAAAACATAGGGCAAAGGAGACAACAGTTAGTGTGAGAGATGAAAATAATAATGTAAAGCCTATTGGGGGGGGGTTATAAGGGTGGAGGGGAGGGGGAGGGAAAAAAGAGCTGGTATGGAGTGCTCAATGGAAGGTGGGTGTCTGGAAAAGAGTGAGGGTAACATGTGTGCAAACGTGCTTGATTCAGTTGATGTGTGGATTGTGGTAAGAGTTGTACGAGCCCCCAATAAAATGATATTTAAAATTTTAGGCCTCTTACAGCTTTTGTAGCATTCCATCCATCAATTGTATCAGGCATGTTGTACATGTGTTGTCATAATCATTACTTTCTATTTGAGCCCTTGGTGATAACCTTTTGCAAATTATTCCACCACCATTAACATAAACTCCATGTCCTCTAAGCAAACACTCTTCCTCCTTTGCCCATGGTAACCATTGGTCAAGTTTGGTTTCTTTTTTCTTAGTTTTCCTAATTTAATATTCGCATAACATACATTCCATAGTTGAGTCATTTAAAGAAAGACTTGTATATATACACCATCATACCTCCCCCCCCAAACAAAAGTGCTAAAAAACTTGGCTTATACTTGAGTATATATGGTATATTCATTACCTTCTCTGGTTTTTTTATTCAGACAACATTAAAAAGAATATTTGGTAGGGGTTCATACTGAATTTGCGTTCTATTAAAACCCTTTGGTCTTTTGAAAATTCTTTTTTTGATTTGTTAGTTACCAGCCATTAAACACGAACACACACCTCATTTTGATAGGAATAAAATAAGCATTAATAACAAAAGTATAAATAAAATGCTAATTAGTAGGTTATTTTATCTTTTTTTCCTCATATATAGGATGACAAATACAGAATGGTAGAGTTGGTATACAAAAAGGTGGACATTCTAATATAAAATCATTTTTCAAATCTCCCAAACTTACTATAAAGCAAAATTAGTACATGTAGACTCTTCAAAGGTCCCTTGGTGGTGTCATGGGTTACACATTGGGCTGCTAACCACAAGGACAACAGTTCAAAGCCACCAGTCACTCTGCACTAGAAAGAGGAGGTTTTCTACTCCCTTAAAGATTTAGTTTTGGAAACCCACAAGGGGAAGCTTCACTCTGTCCTACATGGATACTATGACTCAGAATCAACTCAATGGCAGTAAGTGAGCTTTTTCAATGACACTTTCTTCTTCTTTTAATTGGGAATGCAATAAATTTGGAATTACAAATTAATTGAAATGCTATAGGACTCAAAGATATACAATAGAACTTTGGCTCATTAACTGACAGTTTTAATGGTGAATACTTACAAGTTCATGGACATCAGTTTTAAAGATCGAATGAACTCCAATAATGAAAGGTGTTGGGGAACTCAGGACCTCTAGCAGCTGAGCCGGGAGAATGGGAATATAAGGATAACTGAAAATAATAGAAATATGTGTCAGTTTCCCCCCCATAATATAAATATATATTTTATGGTGTATGAATTTGAAACTGTCCACATTTAGAAGTTGTAAGGTTAACAACTGTGTCCATATATTTCATAATGGAAATATATTTTTTGAAATACTCATATAAAAGATATGATTAAATATAGTAAGATGTAACTAGACCCCAGGCCAGCTTCTAATCTTTATTCCTCCTGGAAAAGCAAATTCTCCTTAGGTATTTTGATCTTGCTTCAAACACTTTTTCTTATATAGAAATCTGACATTAGACTGTAACTCTGACTCCTGGAAGGGTTTTCCCTCCCAATACTGGGCAAAAATTTACCTATATAACACAATCATCTAATTCCATTTTCTATAACTGATTTTTACATTCATAAAACAATGATGAAATAAAAAATGTTAAGAATACTTCTTATCTGAATGGTGAAAATTACATAGTTAAAACATTTTAAAATAAACTTTAGGGCATTTAAAATTTGTTTTTAATTTGTCTGAGCCCGTTTCATATATTTTAGAAATGTCAAATTGAATACTAAGTATTTGGGAACACAATATTCTACTTATAGCACTATCAGGAATTGTTGTTTTTTGTTTTAACTTCTTATTGAATTTTAACATAAACCTCCAACAATAAATAAAAGTATAATGAAGTCCTACATATCTAATCCAACTTTGATAATTAGCAATGCATGGAGCAAATTCAAATATACGTCATTTGTTATACATAAACAGTAGGTGTCTAACAGGGAGGGGGGCTGCTATTTCCCACCCCCAGACCCAAGGTAGAGTTATCACACCTAAAAATTAATAATCTCTTAATATCAAATAATCAGTTAACATTGTTTATTGTTCAAGCCATGGTAACAGTCATTGAACATACTGTTTGGAAACATATATATATTGCTATTTTTTAAAGAGGAAATGATTGATTTATTGGCAGATGACGGAGAAAGAATAGCCTGGGTAAATGCACATAGCAGGGTTTTCAATGGTCAGTTCCAATTTGATCACCTGCTGAGACTGTATTTCTTTTTTTTTATCATTTTATTAGGGGCTCATACAACTCTTATCATAATCCATACATAAATCAATTGTGTAAAGCACATTTGTACATTCATTGCCCTGGAAACATATTTTTATCTTCTTTTAGGATAATACTTTTATCACCAACTGTATTAAAAAATGATATTTTATTGACAATACTTTTCAAATTAAACAATTTTTCATTTAATTAAAACTCAGTAGTGGACAACTTTAAAAATTCTCAAATTCTAGCTTAGATTTCTATCAGAATCATGAAGCTGCAGAGGGGCACTGGGTCTCTAGTCAAGTGCTCCCTCAATGCAAGAGGGAGTACTTTATTCTAATAACCAGACATTCTGTGATGCTTATCTTCCTGACATGAGCGCTGAAGTAAAAATGGGTGCATAAGCAAATGTGGTGAAGAAAGCTGATGGTGCCCAGCTATTCTATTAAATGATACAGCATCTAGGGTCTTAAGGGATTGAAGCTAAATAAGCAGCCATCTAACAGGGAAGCAACAAAGCCCACATGGAAGAAGCACACCGGCCTGTGTGATCACGAGGTGTTAATGGGAACAGGTATTAGGCATAAGAAGACCCCAAACAAACAAATATATTGATGCAAATGATGGGGGTCGGGGCGGAGACCCATGCCCATCTGTAGATAATTACACATTCCCTCACAGAAGGGTCGCAAGGAAGGAACAAGTCAGCCAGGGTGCAGCACAGCACCATTGGAACACACAATATTCCTCTAGTTCTTTAATGCTTCCTCCTCCCGACTATCATGACCCCAGTTCTACCTTAAAAATCTGGCTAGCCCAGAGCATAGACACTGGTACAGGTAAGAGCTCTGGACACATGGAATCCAGGACAGATAAACCTTTTAGGAACAGCAGTGTGAGTAGCAATACCAAGAGAGTAGGGGGACGGTGTGGGGAGAAGAGGGAGAAATGAGGAGCCTACTACAATGACCCATGTATAATTCTCCCTCCCCAAGGGGGCGAACAACAGTAATACGGACGAAGGGAGACAGCGGGCAGTATAAGATATGAAAAGAATAATAATAATTTATAATTTATCAGGGGTCCGTGAAGGTGGGAGAGTTGGGGAGGGAAGGAAAAAGAAAAAGGAGCTGATACTAAGGGCTCAAACAGAAAGAAAATATTTTGAAAATGATGAAGGCAACATATGTACAACTATGCTTGATACAATTGATGTATGGATTGTTTAAGAGCTGTAAGAGCCCCCAATAAAACGATTTATTTATAATAATAGTTAAAAAAAGAATTATGAAACTGGTCAGTAAACAATGATATAATAATAATAAGCTTATGTGCTTCAAATCATTGTATTATAACATTCTGGTTGGCGGCCAATGAGTAATGCAGAATTTAGAATAAATGAGAGTACAATGAAAAAGCCTCACCTATATTTAAGAGGGAACATTAGCGATTCCAGGGCTCTGCAAGCATCACTAAGTCTCTGGAAACTTGCCGAATGGAAGAGAACTTTATTTTCTGTGAGGACTGCACAAAAAAGGCTGAGGACGTTCTGAATTCCTGGAAACACAAGAGCAAATGCTTATAAAAAACACTTAATTGTATATGCATCTTCGATAAATAGAACAGTTTGGAATATGGGGGGGGGGGGGGAATGGCCAATAGTTTTGGAATCTTTGAAAGAATATGATTCAGCTATAAATTCTATATAACCCGTGTATGTTTCCCCAAACTTTCAGTGTTATTTGCCTCTCTTCTTCAAATCAGTGTAATAGTCACAGAACCTACTGTTTAGAAATATATCATTATCTTCTTTCAACATCATCCCCCAAGGACTATTTCTCTCTAGAATGGTGTCAATAATTTTAAGACCTCTTAAAGTCTATTTTTTGGTTGTCAAAACATGTATATCAACTTTATTATTATAATTTGTGTAGTAAATATTTTTCACCTTTTTTACTTAAACTATTTTATTTTTGTAAATAGCACAGTTATTTTTGAACCCCGTCTGACAGTCTGTCTTGTACTAGATTATTTAATGTTTATATTTATTGTATCTTATTGTATGTTTTTAATTTAGTCTCTTTTTCCTTCCTTTTGATTTGTATTTACCCCACTTCTTTTATCTCTTCTTCTAATGTGTTACTTCTGAGCTGTTTCTATTTTTTGTGTGGCAATTCTAAAAATCACAACATGCATGTTTGCCAAATCCAAGTTAAATACACCTACTTCTCACTTAACAATACTTTGCTACTATTTGACATTTCTGGTTTATAACCAGAGTGAAAATCTGATGTTGGACCATTTTGTGCATTAAAGAGGTGGTGGACGAGACAGTAAGGGCTACTGAGAGTTCCCTCCCTTGGTTAGGGCCTTCCAGTGGCCTTTGCAGAGTCGGGCCACTCTGTGTCAGGCCTTGAGCTCCCTCTTAACAGTGGGTTGCCACATACAGCTGCATGAGGCAGGCCTCCTGGTTGATTTGGAGGCTGCAGCCAAGCCAGCAGGATTCTGGGATCCAGCTCCTTTGTGGGGCTGAGGCCCTGCAGCTCAAAATTGCTATAGGGTGTGGAGGTTGAAAAGAAGGGGTTAGGGAGGGGTTTTAAAGATATGTGTGAGAGGTTAATGACATCCCAAATCAGTCAACAACACCTCCCAGTCCTCTATGTGGGTGAGGTTGTGTGTGTGACCAGTCTTCTATCAGAGTCTTAGAGACCTGAGGCAAAGCAGGCTCCAGGATCAAGAATGCAGGGCTTTTTTCCTGTGGTAGGAGCAGAATCCTGGAGGCAACCCTGGAGGGACGCTCTGGGCTAGCACAGAAGGAAGGTGACTGTGTACTCCAGTCACAGCCCAGCTTTACCCAATTTTGTCTCCTCCAAGTTCACATCTCTGCAGAATAATAATCTATACCTGATTGTTAAGATGATCCTAATGTCTTAATGAAAAGAAACTGGATAAATGGAAGATCTGTGGAAGAAAAAAAATGCTCCACTTTCACATACCACTGATTTTTGCATAATGGTGTGGCCTGTGGGACCTAACCATGCCCATAAATGAGGAGGGGGTGTATAATGTTTCTTTTCTTTTTATTTTTGACTTAAGTAATTTTTCTTTTTATGAATTCATCCTTAATCACATAGACCCATTAAATTCAAGAGATTCCATTAGTTACCTCAAGGTAAAATATTCCTTAAACTGGGGGTTTCAAAAAGTTGGTGGAAGAGTTCCATTATCATTAGATTTTATTCTTCCACGTACCTTTTGAAGCCCCCTCCTTTGTCCCTTTATTATTTGAAGCTTGCCACTTCAGTGATACATGCACACTTTCTCAGTCCATTTTTCATTTTTTGATATTACAAACCTATTGTTTGGACTGAGCTAAGGCAGATCAGGACCTGCTTCGCTGCAAGTCCCTGCAGCTTCCCCCTGTAATGAGGAGCCTGAAAAGCAATGCCTGGAAGAATGCAATGCCTGACTTCCTGATAGCTGACTGACTGACCGCCGGCCTACCTGCGCGGGAGCTGGTAAACTATACCCTGGATCATAAATCTTGCTACTGCAGCACAGACACCCCC